GGGCGGGGATCGCACTCGCACGGAAGCGGCTGTGGCCAGCTGGCAGTGCTGTACCCTAACCCGTTGCGCCACCACGGAAGGCCCCTACTTCACTTTTAATTGAGGCAAAGATGGCTGACACCGCTCATCACTTTCTGGCTGGGTCTTGGTCGGCTTCAGAAGTCTTTAGGGACGAACCCGGCAAAAAAAAACCCAACAGGGCACATGCCACACACACCCAGGAGACGGAGTTCTGCGAATTTCACTCCTAAATTTCAGTCCTCAGTGCGGTTCTTCTACCAATGGCTCAGTGAAAGACGGTCTCCTTGTCCTCATTTATCAGCCGCGACAGACAGCAACACTGCTCTCAGATGCCGGCTCTCTTCACAATTATCTAGTGATGCCTCCGAGGCAAACGCCTGCAGAGGGGCCTTCCTTCTGGGATGCTCTCCCGAGGCGACAGTTCAAAGCAAACCTCTATTAACTGAAGACTGACGTCTGCAGAAGTCTCCGGGCAGGACAACTCCGCTCCTGCTGCAGTGATCTCAGGAAGAGACACAGTTACTTGCACTCGGTCCCCGGAAGTCAAGGACAGCGGCCGCCCTTCACGAGCCCTCACGGCTGGTGTCGGGGCCTCGCCGCGCCACTGCTTCCTGGGAGGGGCCTTCCTTCCCTCAGGAAGAGGGAAACAAGCTACTTTTATTTCACTGAGACTCAGTAGCTGATGGGACAAAATACAAGACAGCAGGGAAATGGAATGAATTAGACGCGCTGGGGCTTAGGAAGCCTGGGCAGAGCTGAGGAAGCGACACTGAGGCTTCCCAAGGGGTTGTCTCAGCACCAGGAAGCTGTCTGCAGCCGCTGCAGCACGAGTTCGATCCCGGCCAGGGAGTGACCCATAGGGTGCAGCAGACCTCTCCTGTCTCCCCGCTGCTCCCTTCAGTGTATTCCCTTTTCTGCTCCCCACTCTGTCTCTGGTGAGTCCTGTCATCTCTCCCACATCTGGCCTATACTCCAGTTCCTGTATGCAGAAATCTTTTTTTTTCTTTTTTAAAGAAACTGACATAGGAGAGAAGAGGCGGCTTCAGAGGGAGGCCCTGCCCACGCCCAGGCCAGCAGGCGGCACCTGCATCCCCCGCTGGTGCAGGCCCATGACTGACGCTTCCCCGCTACCCGATGATGGAAACTGGGCGCACAGCAGATTCTAACAAATGTTTCAGAGCGAGGCGTTTGTGATGATTTTAATAACATGAGTAAGGAGCCAGACTGCAGACGCCCTGGCACGCAGGATTGGAGGCCCTGGGACAAAATACAAACCAGAAGCGCACCGGCCATCGTCTCTAGGACAGAGACACCATCTTGTTGACTATGTTTCGTGAGGGGGCCTGACTCCAGACGTGGGCGTGGCCGCAGAGAACCCAGGCCAGCGGCAGGGGGTGCAGCGAGGGCCAGGCTCCCACCCGGGGCGGTGCTGCAGTAACCCGCCTCTGCGTTGGTGCAATTTTCTCGCATTTCACTTACAGGGCTGGAAAGGATCTAGCATTTCCATGCAGCGGGAGAAGAAGGGGGTGCCTGCCCCATCTCTCACCACCCCCAGACACCGCCAGACATGCTGTCGTGGGGCGACAAGGTGGGACAGATGTCTCCCCAGGAGCGACTCACTGACCAGATAAACTCAGCGCCTGAGGCACCAACAGACCAAAATAAGCAGTAACAAGAGTGGCGCTCCGGGGGGCCCTTCCCTCTAGCACAGCAGGAGCAGAGAAAGCACCCCAGCTGTGCCACCCTACTTTTCTGGGGTTTCCCAGCAAATACGCAAATACTTTCCAGCCCTGTAAGTGAAATGCGAGAAAATTGCTGTCACGTGGGTCCTGGTTTTTCTCAAGGGCGCTACGTGATTCACTTCACTTGCACCGGGTGCTCTGGCCCGCACGGCTGCTTCTCCCGCCAGGACACGTGTTATTTATTTGTCCTTGCAGCACATGAGCTGGGAAACGTGGCCACAGCGTGCAGCAGACACTGACCTGGTGCCCTTTTCTGCAGGGCCGCCAGCACGCTGGCAAGGCAGGGACACCAGAGAGGACCCCGCAAGCCAGCCAAGGGTGCCGGCCATCTCTAGGCGCCTCCACGTTTAACCCTAAATCAGCAGCTTCAGACATGCAGAGTCCATGCAACGGGAGAGACGGAGATTCAAGGCTTCCTGCTCTTTCGGCGTCTGCTTTGGCTGTAGGGGCTATAAAAAATGTTCTATATAACTTCAAGATGAAAAGCACGAGTAGCTTCTTAGAAGCGCAATCACCCCAGTCTTCTGGAGGTGTAATGCGATGTAAGTCACTGGAGCTTCTGATTCGGTCTGCTGTTAATGGACTCAAAGTCAATGACAATCTTGCTGCACTTTGGTGTGAATTTCCTAAACGTAAGAAGACGAAATAAAGGTATCAGCCAGTGCCCAGCTGAAGCAATTTGTTTACTTGGCCTTAACCTACATTTTCCGTGGGAGAAAAAAAAAACTTTCCCAGGATTCACCTGCTACTTTATCTCTGTAGAAGCCAATTACAGAGCATCACACCGAGAGAAGCGAGGGGCAGAGAGGCGAAGACAAAGAGGGTGGCGTGGGGGGCACCGTGGGGGGTGGCGTGGCTTCTGTGGTCCCCAGCAAGCCGAGTTTACGAATTATCGGGGAGTCCAAGGATTTCTGACAAGTTAGCCACATCTGATCTCTACTCTTCCTACCAGATTTGTCTTATTTTCTAGGAAATTTCTGCTGCCAAATGGAAATCACTCTCACGCAAAGAAAAAGGTTTTCTTTTGCCTCTTAGACATAATCAAAATCAACTAGCATTAGCAAGGAGTCATTTTGAAAACGATGTTCTGGAAAAGCAAAGGTAAAATAAATTCAGTTTTTTGCTTACCAATATGCCTGCTAAAACAGCTACAAAGAAAATAGTTGGGAACGAAACTTAGGCTCTTAAAAATCCAAAACAATTTATACTTAAAGTCTCAGGCAAGACACCTAACCTATATCCGTGAGGACGACCAGGCTGAGGTGTGTTACCTATGGAAAGACCCCGCCGCTCACCACAGCCCCTGTGAAGACGCTGTGCAGAAGAAACCAAAATTTAATATTTTACAATGAAAATTAAAAAACCGCTTTGAAAGCTTTCCAAGTCTCAAAAGAAGTTTCCACCAGGAATCAAGGCGGTTGAATACTCAGTTGCAAGTAAAAATGCCTCCCAATTTTTGTCAAGCAAATCTGCTCATGCAAATCTCCATGACTTCAAATCTCAAATGTAAAATGTGGCAGTAAGAATTCCGGGCGTTTCCACCCGGCAGGTTACTTTCATCGTAAACTTTCTATGCCAGACTCGCTACCTTTGCCAACTTGACAAAGGCTCGCCGTTGGGATTCTAAAACTGGCGATTTTGCAACCTTCTTGCTTCTAGAATCATGACTCCAAGCCCCCGGAAAGCTGCCGGAGGTCAGAACATTTCTCGGGCTGTCTACGGGATTTCCGTCCATTCCCACAATAATCTCGAGCGTCTTTTGGCGCATCACACTTCAAACGGGACTTCCAAGCCTGGAAGCCAAGCGTGGAGGTCGCATGTCCCTTCCTCCGCCCCAGCCCACCGCCCACCTCCTCCACTCACCTGACGGCGACCCCGGCCATACCGAACATGAGCCTGGCAGCTGTTGTCTCTTCGCTTTCGTGGTATTTATCAGACATGAAAATCACTTCTTTTATACCTAAAAAGGCAGCAGCGGAAGCCGTTGAGGCAGGACACTGGCCAGGGCAGGCGGGAGCAGGTGAGTGGTGGCGTTGGTGATTAACTAGCTGGCACACAAGGTCCAGTGTGTGAAACGCACATCTGTTGCTTTCTGATGCGGCACAGGACGGATTATATTTAATCCGCCCTCCGGTCTTTATGGATTTTTTTTTTTAACAAATGCAAAGTGGAAACATGTCAAGTAGTCAAGCCTTGATCCGATTAACAAATTTTCTTTACTGTGGGCAATCAAATATTCTTTATTCACGGGCAACTACTCTTCACTCAAGAGGACGATGGGGATGGGGGGGTGGCAAGAGCTGTCCAGACGGGGGCTGAGTGCCCCGTGCACCAGGAACCGCCCTGCGGACCACCTCAAGCCTGCTCAGGGAGCGCAGGTGTGGTTCCTCTCCGCTCTCACTAGGCAGCAGGGCTAACCTGAGGGCCAGGAATTTGGGGGTGCCTGACACAGCTCCCTGCGTGGCCAGGTCCCCTCTGACGGGCTCACAGAAAGTTGGCCTCCTGCAGCACACACCGGGCCCTCCCCACGCTGACCACTGGTCAGGGAGCCGCAGCCACACCGCCAGACGGGGCACAGACACCCGCCGGCTCGGGGTAAACAGCCCCGTAACCACACATCTGGCAGAGCGTGATAAGTCTCTAAGTCTCAAGCCGAGAGCTTTATGGAGATAAAGTGTAGCCGAATCTTAGATATGACAGTTTGAAAAAGCTGCGAGATTCAGAGCGCAATGGTGCAGATTTGCGGTAACCATAATGTAAGAGAAACAGACGCAGAGATGTTTCGGCTCTCAGCTATGTACCATATATTAGGCACAAATTAAAATTTCATAGACAGACTCCCAGCTGACCTTGTTCCTGCCAGAAGTTCATTTCTCTCCCTCCCCCCTAATCTATGCACACTGTGTCAGGGAATCGTAAACTGACAGTAATTATATGCAATGCCTGTGTTGTTTTTTGGCAGCTTGCAGTTGAAGAAGTTGCAAAGTAAATTAAAAACATGCTAAGAACCACAGAGGATGCAATTAGTCTTAGGCTGCCTGGCACCGTTCAAAAACAAAACACGGGAAATACCTTACGAAGGGGATAGTGCGATTAATTTAGACCTAAACAATAGCGATGCGAGATCAAACACATGGGCCAGGAGCTGCTGCGGGCAGCGATGCCAACGTGACGAACGGCCCCGGCCTGGCTCCTACCTGCCTGGATGATGAGCTTGGCACATTCGTTACACGGGAACAAGGCGACATACATGGTGCAGCCTTTCACGTCCGCCGAGTTCTTGTTCATGATGGCGTTCAGCTCTGCGTGGCACACTGTGGGGGGGGGGGGCGGACAGGAAAGAGCAACCCAGTCTGTGCTTGCAGAGTTTGCCAGCTGTGCTGGTGCACGCCACCCCCCAACCCGACCGCACCCCAAAACCACCTATCAACTTCTTCCCAAGCTGATGAGAATCGGAAAGTACCGAGGACGCCAAATGAGGACCACGGGGCCCGACAGGCTGACAGCTGGCTGCCGACGGGAGCCCGGCTGCCTGTCTGTGAGCACAGGAGGGGCCGGCCGAGCGCCGTCCACCCCTCGGGGCCACGCTCGCCGGGCCACAGGTCGCTGGGTCTGGAATGGCGCAACAGGGCTCATGTGGGGGTTGACACCCACACCGGGGGCCTTCGCTGCGGCTGTTCAGGGGGCAGGGGGCAATCCCAGAGCATCAAAGGGGGAAACTGAGCATCTCCATGCCGGGGATTTGCTTCACCTCCTGCTTCCCGGCCCACAGACACACAAGAAAACCACGAGCGGGTGACTGGGTTTGCCTTTTAGAGGAAAAACACGAGTCTACTGGACGGCCAGGAAAAGTCAGGTCGCAGCGACACCGGCCATTGCACCGACCCCCAAACAGGAATCCCAGTCCGCAGACTGGCGCGGCGCAAGGGCTAAAGGGGGCACCGTCCTCTTCCATTTCCCCTACTCGGCTGGGGGTGCCCCGCCACCCAGCTTACCGGGGCACCTCTCCGGGCCGGGCGCCTCAGGCACCCATTCAGTTTGGAGTCCACCACCTGCCGTGTAGGGCCTTGCCATCCTACTGTGTCACCTCCTTTTCTCCATGTGTCCTCTAAAATTTCATTATAAACGTCTCGAGCCAGGGTTCGGCGACCTTGTCTGTCTGCTGGAACCCCCCCCGCCCCCCCCGGGGAGCTTCCAAAATATCCAGGTCTGCGTCCCACACCTGGAGACTGGCTGGGCTGGGGGGCGGCTGGGATCTCAGAGATTGCTCGTGCGATTTTATGTGGCGGGCGTGTTTAGCAAACACCCCACAGCAGCATCTGGCATCCCTGGGGACGTCAAGCATGCAGCGCACGTCTGTGCTAAAATGCATCTGCTGAGTGAATTAACGAGGGACTTCAGCCATGGCGCGAACCAAGCAGAAGTCCTAGAATTACATATAGAGTGCCCGTCGGGGTCTCCCCAGCCTCTCCAGACACCAGCTTTCTACGCTTTCCACCTCCCTCGAGGAACGGAGCGCGGCCTAAACTCACCACGCCCATCACTGAAGTCCTGACGTTCACCGAGTCCCTACTCTGGCTCAGGACGGAAAAAGCCACAGCCGCCCGTCTTCCTGCCCAGGGGCGGATTTGCGCCTGTCTGTGTGTGAGGTGCTTGGCGCAGCGCTGCGATGCTGCAGGCATAAGCGGGTCTGGGGCCCTCAGGAGAGGGCTACTTTGGAAGGATCTGGCCTTTTAGGAGGCCTCGTTGTGGGTGGAAATGAAGAGGCTCTGACATTGAAGAAAAGCTAAAGAAGGAAAAAAGAGCCGAGCTTAATGAGATCACAGTGCACCGGGGACCTGAGAGACACTTGTCTATTAGACCCCAGGGAGAGGACAAGGAAAAGGAGGGACTCAAGGCTTGGTGGCCAGAAGGGCACCGGGCAGCAGAGGCCCCTCGGTCCATCTCCTTCCCGGGTGACCAAGATGTTCCCAAGCTGGGACTAATACTGCTCGGCGTTGGAAACAATTGGATGTAATTGTTTCTGTTATTTCCCCCTGGAGGGCGGAGCCTAGTCTGGGCGCTGGGCAGCATCCCCAGAGTCTAATGGGATGCCATGAACATAATGGGTGTTAAATATTTATTGGATGAATAAAGGGGGAGACACAGATTCCAGTTATGGATGGTGACCTGGGGAAATACAGAGTCGCCTCTTAAATTCAAAGATCAGCAACATGCTTTCCCAGCTAATGAATATTTTTGGAAAGCGCTGGTATCACCGTTCAGAACGCCGGTTTCCGACTGTTAGGAAACACCACGAAAACGTCCTCTTTTAAATTTCTAAATACTAAACACTGCCCCACTCACAGCAACGAGCTTCCTCTCGTTTGTGCGGGGCACTCTGGGGCGCACTCAACCCCCCAGGTTTGACGTCACTCGTGAGAATTACCGCAGGAAGAAGATTCCTGGGGCGCTCAGACGCGCCCGCCAGTATGAAGGCGCAGTGTATGGGAGAGTGAGATCAGACACAGACTTGCTTTCTCTTAACTGCACATTCACACCAAGAAACACTATGCAGGGCCCTCCCTGGGGGCGCAGCGGGTTAGAGCACAGCACTGAGAAGCTCAAGCCACTTCAGCATGAGTTCGATCCCCGCCCCAGAGCTGACCCACAGGGCACAGCAGACCTCTCCTGACCCGCCCGCTGCTCCCCTCAGCAGTGTACCTCATCCATCTGCCCTGTTCTGCTCCCCGCTCTGTCTCTGGTGAACCACATCTCTGGCTTGTACCCCAGTTCTGTACGAATAAATAAATCTTAAAAAAAAAAACAAAAACACTATGCAGCCCCTTTTGTTAGAAAAAGAGGAGGCTCTTCTGGGCAATGCCCGCCGGACAGGCTGGCGCGAGGAGCAACAGGCCGTGATGCTCAGCCCCCACGCGACGCCTGAGCCACGGAACTGCGGGTGCTGGCCACGCACTTTGCTCGCTGGCCCTGGCACGGGGGCAGCTTCAGGCGTGTAAGCCACACGGCTGGCAAGTGTGAGACATCTACCCCAGCCTCCCCGAGCCCCGGCCCCTATGTGAGCCACAAGGACGTCCCCAAGCTGCACCTAAGGTTGGGGAAACCCCACCCCAGGCAGGAGCCAGAGCCCCGATGAAGTCCTCGGAGGACTCCGCAGAGCTGCTGGTGACCCATCTGGCGATCTGGCTTTCTCAGAGGCGATGAGGCAAAAGCTGTTACTCTCTGTTCTTTCTAGAGTTGGAAATGCGTCTTCTCAGAGTCAGTGTTACTCCTGCAAACTGAAAGAGCACTTACGCTTTGTTGAACGTCACACAGCCACAGTGCCAAGCTGGGCCTGCAACCCACTGACTTAGTGCCAGGCCCCTTCTGCAGAAGAACTCCCGGGGGAAGGGGTGGCCGCGGGGCCTGGACCTGGGACATGACCGCAGGGCCCCGGGGCCCTCAGCCTGGCCCGGCCATGCTGGAACCAGGCTCTGAAGCCTGGCTTCGCCTTTCTCCCTCCCTGGCGCTGAGTACTCAGGGGCACTGGCCTCAGCTCCGGGAGCTCTGACCCTCCCTCGCTGGTTCTCTACTGCAACAGCCCTGCAGCCCCTTCAGACTGTCCACGTCAGGCCTCAAACACACAGGCTGTCCTCGGAGAAGACGGGGGAACAGAGACTTGATGGCCGTCCATGCGGCTGGGTGAACATAGGCAGAGAGTAGAATTGGGGGCTCCCTCACCTGGACTCCCCAGTACAGCAGGGTCAAACAACAGGGCCCTCCACAGAGGCGCAGCGGGTCAGAGCGCAGCCCTGAGAAGCGAAAGCCACTTCAGCACGAGTTCATCCCCGCCCCGGAGGTGACCCCAGGGCGCGGCAGACCTCTCCTGACCGCCCGCTGCTCCCCTCAGCAGTGGACTTCATCCATCTGCCTGTTCTGCTCCCCACTCTGTCTCTGGTGAAGCCTCTCACCGCTCCTGCACCTCTGGCCTGTACCCCAGTTCTGTATGCACAAATAAATAAATCTTAAAAATAAATAAATAACAGGCATCCCAAACCAGCCACAGGCCACCAGTCCACACTGCCGGGTGCAGGCCCCCTGACCACCCTCAGCCCACCTCCTACCCCTGGGGCGCCCCCCCCACCAGCAGGCAAGTAGGGAAAAGGAGGTTGGCAGCAAGAATCAGCTCTGGGTCAAGGCCCGCTTGGCACTTCTTGCTGTGTGACTTTCACGAAGCATAAGGCGTGCCGCTGGCTCTGAGGAAGATCACTTCCAACTAAGGAAGAAAAGCAGCTTTTGCTTCACTGCCTCCGAGAGAGCAGATGGGTCAGCAGCCGCTCCGGGGCGCCCAAGGAGGTTCAGCCAGGGCTCTCGCTCTGCTCCGTCTGCTCGGGAGCCAGTTCTCGAGGGACACAGGCCTCCTTGGGGGACTAAGTGAGCGTCCCCGAAGGCCCTCAGGCGTCTCCGTAGAGCAGGGGCCACGCCTGCTCCTGCTCACACACACAAGCACTCGCAAAACAAGAAAACAGAGCAAATCAAATACATCTCATGACAGAAAATAGAAGAGCATGTGATACAGAGATACATCGAAAAGTTTTAAAAAGGTATTTTAAAAAGTCTCCTGGGGCCCTCCCTGGTGGCGCAACAGGTTAGAGTGCAGCACTGCAAGCCGGCCGCAGCCACTTCAGTGCGAGTTCAAT